ACATTATACACTACCCCAATTTAATGCAGGGTATAGCCAACAGTCTGACTATTATAAAAGTTAATATTTTTATTTTTATTTAAATTTATTTATTTATTACATCTCTGTGTGTATGTTAGAAGTACACGGAGTCTTGTTTGAGTTTAACTTATCACCATGGCTAGCAAAATATGTAAACTCAAACACCGATATGAGGAAGGAGGCAGTTAATGGTTTTGAAAAAGGGTTTTACAAATNGTACACGGAGTCTTGTTTGAGTTTAACTTATCACCATGGCTTGCAAAATATGTAAACTCAAACACCGATATGAGGAAGAAGGCAGCTAATGGTTTTGAAAAAGGGTTTTACAAATATATTATGAATGCTGTTTTTAGTAATTTAATTCCTATTTATTAAATGTATACTGCTATAATATTATTATGATTTTTTAAGTAAGGATTTTCTAGATGGAATCGGTAAGACGGAGAATTGATGTTAAACTGGTGTTGTGCTAGAGAAGAATGCAGAAACTCATAAATACAACAACGATCAAACATTGTACAGCATATAGCGAAAATCTGTGTACTGTATCGCCGGAGAACAAAAATATTCATTTCTGTAAGCCGAATTCAATTTCAATTCAGCAAATCCAATATAAATTATTGGATTTGCTGCGCTCGATATCTCAAGATATCAAAATTTACGATTACCACCTTAAGGTTATGAGAAAGCATTTTAAAGACACTACCAATTTGATATATACCGATACAGGTAAATTAGAATTATTTTTTTAATACTAGTGGTATTACATTTCTTTTTAGTCTAATCTAATTAGAGATAGCCCGTGCTACGTTACTTTGAGGAAAAGATATCCGGCTCGTTTTCGGACGAGACAGATGGAAGAACGATAACAGAGTTTCGTGCCTTGTTTGCCAAATCTTATCCATATAAGATCGACAGTAAGGAAAATATCTAGGCGAAAGGTGTCCGAGACCACTTGGTCAAAAACCACATGACGTTCGAAGACCACAGGCGGTGGTTATTCGATGATAACGATTTGGATGTGTATAGGGAGAATGTTTCCATTCGGTCGTTCCACCACCAGCTCAAAACAATCAGTACTTACAAGTTTATCTACAACAACTACGACGATGAGAGAGTAATATTAGAAGACCATATGTATACATCAGCCTATGGACATTCCCTCTATTTTGCAATAGAAAGAGTTTAAAATATTATGTCTTTTATTTATTTGTATTATTTTTTTCTGTATGAACTGCCAAATACCGTGGCGCAACGAAAGGGGAGGGGGAAAACTGAACACCCAAACACAAAAATCACCCACCAAGGCCTCGCGCTTTATGGAGCAACGCCTTTTTATAATAAATATTTTCTTTATTGTACCCATCTGAACTACTTATCTCGCAAAATAATTCTATTTATGTACTGTCCGATGTACATTTCATGAATTTCTAAATTATTTTCAACTAAATAATTATTATTATAATAATATTGTGTTGACAAGGAATGATCTCGAATTATTTGTTATTCGTGGGTTTTGCCCAATGTTTGCCTTAAGCTGATTGCACACTTGAGCGATTCGAACGCGCGTCTCCACGCGTTTCAAACACCGCGATTTTAAAACGCGAACGCGTTTTACTTACACATTAGGCGCGTTTCCACGCGTTTTACGGGCGTTTCTCATAGATAAAAAAACGCGACAATACTATGTAGTTTGTAATATACTAGTCTTGACGTCTTGCCGTTACTGTATACCGTACATGATTACATGTGCAGTAGTAATTCGCGTTGAAATCCACTGTTTTTTCGTTTAATATTTTCAAATTTAAAAAGCTTACACCGCCGCTATGATGTTTTATCATATTTTATCATAGTGGCGGTGTGGTGAGAAAGCTACAGGATTTTTATATTTTTTATTTATAATTCACAAATCTTCAACTCTAATAACTTGTACGATTCGTCAACCTATTTTGTTCGTACTATCCAAACGATAATTTTGTTTTTACTGCGTGTCGGGCGAGAACGAATTTAGAAAATTTACCTCGTAATTAACTATAAAATGATCCGCGTATTTCTTTTTTTAACTAGTATACTGTTAGGTCCTCCGAAATTTGCAAGGTAGGTTATTTTAACAAGTATTATATTATTGCAAAACGGAACTGTTATGGGCGAAAGAGTATTTGGATATAAGTATTCCTCTCTGTGTAATTAATATTGCCAACATTAGAAACTAGTTTGTTATGGGTTAAATTTTCTGTTAGCAACCATAATCCAAACAACTCGTTCGTTTTATTCGATTTCCCAAAATTTGGGATAAACTGCTGATTTTTTAGAGTTCATGTTCACTGTTTCGACTGCCGTCGATGATCAAACTAAAATGAAAAATAATTTTCCGTATAGATTATAAAGTAAGGTGTACAACCATAAGATATCTTCGATAACCGTCAGAATATATTCGAAGCACTGTACGCATTCGTATCAGATATTATTATAGCCACTAGAATAGTGACTCCTATAAGTTAGATAAAATAATACAAAAACACAATTTTAGGTTAGTTTGTTATATGTTTGGTTTTTTATTTCGACAGTTCTTTGTTTCAAATAAATAACATCTTAAATATTCAAGAGCTTAGGTTAGTTTAGCCTATGTTTATAAAAAACTTTGCATTTGTTTAGTGTAGATTTAGTTAGTTTAGCTTAGCATAGGTTTAATTAGGAAAAAAACGAACCACTCACCCATGTACAACGGCGTATATGGGTCTCAAAGACAGGTTAAACTACCTATCTACGTTGTATTTTTTTCCTGATCAAACCTATGCAAAACTAACCTAATCAAACCTGTACTAAACAAACCCAACCAAACCTGCACTAAACTAACCTAACATTGTATTTTTCATAAACATAGGCTAAACTAACCTAAGATCTCGGGTATTCAAGGTGTTATTTATTAAAACATAGAACTGCCGAAAATCCTAACCTAACCAAATCAGTCCACTATGCACACATTTTTCAAACATCAGCAGCATATCGTAGTCGGAAATTAACTCAATTTATATACCCGTATATTTCAACATGCAATCGAAACTGAATCCGAGTGCCGTACAGTAGTAGGCCGGATTCAATTTGTAAGTTTTCGTGCAGATATCGGGGAAGTTCTCGAACACATTGCCCAACATCATAACGTCGATTTTCAAATAAATGTCACTGTACTCGCCCGACGTACAACAGTTGAAATGTTTCCAAACATTTTTCGCGTGCAGGTATTCCGTTTTCTCGATTTTCATCTCCGTAAGTGTACGATAAAAATTGTTTTTCCTAGGTAATGTTTCTTCATCCAATTTTTCCCAACTATCCGTGAACTCATATGGATACACGCCTTTTCTCGTTACGAGCGACAAATCTTCGATGTTAAATATTTTTTTGGAATCGCAAAGCTTCTCGTATTACGGGGTGTTTAAGTACGAAACGAGAGACTATAGCCTCGATGCCATAAATTGAAACGAGTCTATAAACCGCACGGAAAAAAAATTGCTTATGTATTTCGAAAATGAAATAAATTTTTCCTTGCTGATAATTATTACGGAAATGGTTTCCATGTCGTAACCCAGCTCGATTACTCTGAAACGCGAATCGTAGTTGAAAAGATTATGGAAGAAATATGGAATAAATTTAGGTACTCGAAATTTCAAATTGCAAGTATTGCACAGCATCTGCCTAAATTTAGCCGACAAGTAGTTATGGCTGGTGACTTAGTTATTTGTAACAGAAAAACCGCTTTTGCAAAGTTCACATTTTAGCGATGAATTATGCCTTCGTTGTTTTCGATCGTCATAATAATCGTTTTTTTCGATTTAAATAAATCCTCTGCTCGTTGACAAATTTCCACAATCATCAACTTAACGTGGTTTGCGCCCCCGGCACTTCTTCATTTCCGTGGTAAATTATTGACTTGGTAGGTATATTGAATTCGTTCGAAAATTCTGTCTGGACATCATAGTCCGCCTTCACGCAAATCCCGTACAACATTGATATATGTGTTTGTAGTATTGTGGTATTTACTCCTTTCATCCCGTTCATCTTCTCCAATATTTAACTTGTAATCGTTATTCGTACTCAAAATGATTTTCCATAACTCCCCAAACCCCTTGTCATATCCAATGATATGAGCATTAGTCGTTGCATATAAAATGAGTGTTAATATTATCGACGATACAATATAAATAGAAAAATAAAACCAAACAAAAAAAAACTCAGAAAAATACACTTTTGGCAAGCAATAGTTTTAATTCGTTTGTTTTACTGACGTCGGATTTAACCAAGATTAGGCTTTTCCAATGACATAAATCCTCGATGTTATTATAGGCGTATCGAGCACCACTTGATTGTCGTCAGCGCGAGTACTTATAATAGAAATACTTAATAGTGTTTACGGACACGTTATCTATGACGTTAACATATTGTGCACAATAAATACTTNAAAGATTTATAATTGTACACGTGTACAATAATCCCACATTACTAGTCTTCTCGGTTCGACCCATGTATAAAAAGCTCGACTAATGATTTCAATTAACCATTTGCCACTAAGTGGAATATACCGAAAATAAAATATTGAATTCCAGTTTTACCGTCGTTGACGTAGTTGGACCGTGTGCGAAAATGAGTCTGTCGAAATTACAAGTATCGTTGTTGTGTGGCCTGGTCCTGTTATGGTCCTGTTTCGTTGACGTGAGTATAACAATTTATTTACTTCGAGATTATTGGGATCCGTTTTTTGATCGCTTTCGATTTCGGAACAATCAATGGACACCAATAGAGATGTGAATATTGTACATATTTACATTGTACATTTTATACATTTTTTTTTGAAGGTAAATTATTTTTTACCCCCCAAAAAATTGTGTGTAGCTCCTTTAATCAAATGAACTGAAAAACGATTTTCCTGAAATGTAAAGTGATATTTATATTTTCTAAATATTATTATCATTTGTCATATTGATATAATCAATGTTATAGTTACAGTACCAGTATTCATTAATTACTTTCTATTAATTATTAAATATTATGGAAAAAAATTTTTCCTNTTTTTTACCCCCCAAAAAATTGTGTGTAGCTCCTTTAATCAAATGAACTGAAAAACGATTTTCCTGAAATGTAAAGTGATATCGTATTTATTAACTGATAAAACGTATTTATAAACAATACAATAATATTAATGTACTAATCATATTTTCTATTCTTTTGACACAGTATTCGGTCAAATATAAATCGTTATCAATAATAGTGATTTATCAGTTGACAAATGTAATTGTTGATATGACTGTTTCATTTTCCTGTTTTAAAACGCATTTTCGTGTTTTTCATCTCCACTGTATGAACAGAACAAACATATTTTCTAAATATTATTATCATTTGTCATATTGATATAATCAATGTTATAGTTACAGTACCAGTATTCATTAATTACTTTCTATTAATTATTAAATATTNTAAATTGTATAGACTAATTCAAAGTTTAAATGCATGTTTACAATGATACTAGATTGAATAAGAATCTGAAGGAGAGAAAAGGGGGAAAAATAAGGCAATTATCACATTGATAATTGTAAAGGAATTAATAGATTTAAAAAATTCACTTTATGAATAACGTTAATTTAGCATACCTTTTGAGAATTGGTTTTATTTTGCCGATTACCTCAGTCCCTGCGCACGCCACTACATTCAGACATATATATTTTATTGCAGGGCAAATATACTGCGGAACAAGTTGATGACTTTGCAAAACTGTGCAACGCCGTTGAAGGTAAATAATATCATTTTCGAAAAATGTAACTTGCCCACGAGTGATAGTTTAAAGTAAAGACATATAGTAATGAATTTAGGTACTGTGTAGTTTAAGAAACTGTACTTCAACTATATATTTTTCTAATATGTTTTTATTAAAATCTGTAGAGATGTAATTTTTTAAATTCTAAATTAGAGGAATTGTAGGTAAGTACATATTTTGTATGCACATTATAATTAATCAAAATACTTTTTCTTATTTAGAGGACGTTGATGTATTTAAAGGGTACAACTTACCAACAACAGAAACTGGAAAAGTAATAATTTTAACAAAATTTAATAGGTTCCACAGTCTCATTCAAACTTTTAATCATAGCATATTCTAGAGATAACTTGCAACAATTAGACCCAATATGAAACAAAAGAGTTCTCTCGTCATTTTCTGATTGCAGTAATTTTTCTGTTCGAAAATTATTTTATTAACAAAAAAAATACACGATTTTCCTTAAAAGTATAACTAAGGTTCTTTTTAACAAAATAAATCGAAATTCCTTAAAACCTACTTTCGTTTATGCGCCTGTTATGGTCATCTACTCGAAGGATAAAATTCAATATTATACTTATCTAACAATTTTCTTTACCTATCTATACTTCTTCACCAAACGTAAATTAATTTTAACCATATACCTATGTAAGAAGCTAATTACATATAATTTTTTTTCCAGCTTTTCATCAAATGCGTATTCGATAACCTTGAAATGGTAATTTAAAAAAAATATTAATATTTTATTTATTTGAGTATTCAAATTTATTTTCTTTAGTGTGACTCCAATGGCAATTACAATAAACCAAATACCTTCGAGGCAATAAAAAAGTACTGGCCTGAAGTGGCGTTGGATACGATTGGAAACATAAACCAAATATGTTATATCGAAAGTAAAGCATCAATATTTTTTTTTTACATTAATCTTAGTTCTTAGTTAGGTATTCGTTAATATTCATGACCATTTAATTACTATTCAAAAACTTATCAGTATTATACAAATAATTTAACTGGGTTAACCGTGTTACCATGACTTCTTTTTGGTCAATATTCATGATATTCCATCATGATGGTTATCATCATATAAATGGTTGCGCGACGAGAAAAAATATTTGCTGCGAAATTTTTTTATGGCGAATCTCTTGGACTACAGAGTGATCTAGTTGTGATTAATACGATGGTGTTTCTGTGATTTAAACATTAGTATAGTTTTATGTACGGATTAAGATATTATCCACATCCATGGGTTTATGTAATACCCCAGTATAAAGATAAATTAGTTTGATAAATTCGAGTTTAATATAGAATTAAGAAATATAGTGATAAACTAAACAAACATATTACATGAGTATATGATTATATATAAACCAATTTTGTCAATATTTTTCTGTTACTTTTATTCACTCATTACAGTTGAAGAAAATCGGTCTAGGTCCAAACGTTGTAAAGTTTAGTGTTGGTGTAAATTTTTTCGATCGGAACATTTGGAACCGTTTTACTCAGCAGTTAGAACATTGTCCACCGTGCAAACTAACTATATCTATAGTCGTTATAAATACGGAAACATATTATAATTTATTAAAGACGAGAATTTAATTGCATTGATAACATATACTTTATTTAATTTTTTTATTAGTAAATTACCAATGATTCTGTTGGCAGGCTTAAAAATAAAATCAGCTTATGAATTGGGAACACCCGATTATGTCTACCTAATTCAGAAGTGTTTGTTTACTCAATTTAAACTAGTACGTAGTATGGATCATCCCCAATAAAATATGACCGATGAAATATTATGTTACTTGTTTTTCAGTATGACATGTTGTAGAGACGTATTATGGAAAAAAGGACGGAGTCATAGATAAACTAAAGCGAAGTTTATTTATTTCACCCAATTAATTGTTGTCAAGTTTAATTTAAAGTGTTCAAATTTTATTAGCATAACGTTTTTTTTTACCGGTTAATTAATTATTAACTGTTAGAATATTATTTTTAAATCTTATGAATAAATAATGGTTTTTGGTAATATTATGTTTTATTTATTTATTATTTTATTAAATTAAATACAGATTTTTGAACGGCATTTTGTCGTAGTGTAATGTACTCAATGTTAAATAATTATTGCGTAGTCCTTGGTACCGAAATTTTCCATAAGTATTCCCTTGGACTTGGTAATTTCGTTACTCCTATTTTCAATAATTATATATGCTGTCTTTAGTCCAAGAAAAGAAGGTTATGTCAACTTTTAGAATTTTTTATAAATGTGTTTTTAGGCTACAAAGGCCAGTCAAAAATGTTCGAGATATTTTCCGGTAGAAGTTACACTAAATTAAAATAAAGGAATCATGACATTTATCTGTTTTCATTTGACGTCTAATGTAAGTATTTTGTATAAGTTTTAGCTCTTTACGTTTATTAAACCTTTAATGGCGTAGACTTCCCCTATTTATTTTCACTTTTTACCGGTTCTTCACAAGTATTCTACTAAAACCACGCGGAAAATAAAAAAAAACTACCTTAGCGGTCCAGCTATATAGATCCGTTGTTATACGAAAACGCTGTCTTCTCGTTGTTCTGTCGGAACGAGATTTCTGGTTTACGTTGTGTTCGGACTTTTAAAAGAGAAACGTATACGAAATCAAAGGAAATGTTCCGCTTTTGAAGCTCGTCGGCTTTGCGGGGAACACATACGGCGGATGGCGTTTCATACATACACAAACCAATAGTGTATTGTCGTTATAAAAGCAGAACAAGGGTTTTGACCATCTTCTATAAAATACAATATAAACCGCGATCGAGGAAAATATCATTATTTAATAACTTATTCAATTTTTTTTTGATTTTTTTCACCGATCAGATAGGTTCATATTATGTACTTTTGGATAAACGCTGGGCGCACAGACAAAAACTGTACGTGTATACACTGCACGTTACAACGTGTAAGTCAAATATTATATAAACGTTACAATTCTCGAATATTGTTCACGTTTTTCGTACGATGTTATTGAACGGCTACATTACTTCCGTGTTTTTGTATAGAGTTTAATTAATAGGCGTTCGTACGAAACCCAAAAAACTTACCGTATTCCTGCGGTATACATTAGCTGGTAACCGACCGATCGATTTGGGGTCAATCGAATAACAAAGTGCGGCTATTATAATTATTATTATTGCGTTTGATTTTAACAGTTTTGTTAACCTTATAATTATTATTACAACGATACCGTGGTGTACGATGCGGAGACCGTAAGTATATTATTATTCCGTTCCATTGAACGGTTTAACGATTAACATAATATTGTTTAATTTATTTTGTTTGACTTGAGTTTGACTTTTTGCTTTATTTTGTTTTGAATTTAGGTTTTACTGTTGTATCGATGTGTAATTTCGATGCTGTATTAATAGTAACTACTGTGACACACGCGTGGCGTACGCTTCATATAGGAAAATACTTGATTTTTATCTATAGGTACTCGGAAATATTCAATGGAGTGAAATTAAAAAAAAAAAAAAAAAATTACTGCGCCCAGGATCTTAAATTAAGGTTTAGGAGTTTCTATTTTATTATCTATGGATTTTTTTTTTTTTTTTTTTATATACGTATATAAAAGAATATTTATTTCGCGTAATTTATGAAGAATAAATAAAAATGTAACTTAACGAGCGTTTAAAGTTTAAATTGGAATTCGTAAAACGACGGCGTCGTTTCAAAATGTGTTTAACCAAACTTCGCTCAGAATCAGAAAGCAGGTCAAACGGGATGTGATGAAAGGACTATATATCCCTGCTCTTGAAAACTTTTTCCCTACGATATTTTATAATACATTTATATATTATATTAAACAAATATGTAAATATAATAATAATTTTTAAGAGAAAATCAGCTTCATTCATGAAAAAGCTTATTTAACCACTGCAGCTCAGAATCGTTTTTCATTATCAACGATTTTCCGTTGAGTATATAACGTATATATATTATAAATTAAATTACTCTATTTTTCCTACATTTTCAACTTCTAGCCTACAATAATAATGGTCCACCATTATTAGCTCGACAGCAGTATATATCAGGTCTTTATTATTTGTTATTTTATAACAACGGCAGCAGGTGATGCACATGATGTAAAATGCGGAGAAATACTCAATTTTTTTCATTATTTAAAAATACTCGATAATTCAAATAAATTGAATTTCAATAAAAAAAAAAAATTAAGCTCAGAATTTTCCATTTAATGATATCCAACGAGGTTTATTTTATTTATTTTTTTTTTTGTTTGTAAAGCACGATGCTGTTTTCACGAATAAAAAAAAAAAAAAAAAATAATATGTTTTGTTTCTGAAAGTTACGAATAATTATTACTTTTTCTAATGTTTAACCGCTAATTGATTGTAACTCTCTCCCCGCATTAACGTATACGGCACACGCATTAAGCTTCACTTACAGGCACGTGTGGCCACACCCCGTGAGCCGCGAATACAACAATGACCGTGCGGAATATCGAATATCCGAATAAAATACGAACAGACGGCCGTGGCAGGCAGACACTGGGCCGTAGGTGCAGACGACTCGGCCCCGCTACACTGTAACAATGTTGCGTTTCATTTATTGTTATTTCGTACGTTACGATTGCGGTCGCGGGCGGCCGAACTGCGTGCTACTAGTGGGATATCTGTATAGACGGGTCCGGTGGGTTTTTTTTTTTTATTAACGATCGAATCGCATAATAATAACGGTCTATTATCTTTACAGAATATTGTTGTTGTTATACACGCGCGTACTTACACGTTCCCGATAATAACATAATACCGTGGTACCGATGAGCAGCAGCAACGGCGGTAGTGTTTTCGAATTAGCGGCGTTGCAATATACGTCTCGCGCGTTACACTGTAGGCTCGCAAGATATCAATACACACGCACACACACGCACGAACACACACGCACACACACGCACACGCACACACATATTATAATAGTCAAAATATACATATGTAAGTGTACGATTGGCGGGTCGTTGCACCCATCGATGCGTTCCGTGTTACGACCTCTTTCTTTTGTTATCCGCCTCATCGTTGTACGTGGACGTCGACCGAATATAGGAACGTACGCTATTATGTAATAATATTACAGGTATCCGAATCCAGCGCGAATTTCCATTAATCAACAAAACCGTGTCAGTGTAACAGATACTATATTCGGGCGTAGAATACGTTTCGCCCGCCCGCATTGTATTTCGGCGGGGCCGTCATTAAGGTGAGGGGGGGGGGCGAGGACCGGGTCCCCGGTCTCGCGTTTGGAAAAAAATAAAATACGAATTGGGTATAATTCAATAAAAAAAAAAAAATGAATGTAAATGTTTAAAATTTCGTTCTTATACGAATCCCAAGTACGGCCCTGTACGTGTTTCGGTCTGGTAACAATTAAAAAAAAAAAAAAAAAAATGTAAAAAAGAGCCGGATACTGCTGTTGAGCGTAGGCCGTTTTTGTAGACGGAAAATTGCAAGGACGATATAGGATACATAAAGTTATTGAATTTAAATCTGTGAGTAACGATCACCGTTGCAGGTAAAGTAATACGATTCTGAGCGAGGTTCCGTTACGCACATTTTGAAATGCCGTTATATTTACGACTAAAATTGGATATTAAAACGCTCATAAACATAACGAAACTACTTATTACTAAGTTACGCTCGGCTTTTTTGACTACTGATTACAACTTAAAATCAACCTCGTGTTTATTGTACAAGTGTTTCAGTTAAGTCAAACTATTTAATCTATATAATACCTACCGAATGGGAACTAAACAAAAAGTTTTTATTCGGTTTCGCTCAATTATCAAGAAACATCAAAATACGACTTACTGGCTCACCAACCAGATCAAAAATGCAACAAAGAGGTGTACAGTCATTTATTGATTGAAGCAAGATTTCTGTTTAAAAAAAATACGCACACAAATCGTACAAGTGTAAAATAATGAAATCGGTAAAGCCGTGACGCGCCGTAAATATTTGTCCGTTTTTCTTATACTTCCCCTCTCCCCAATTATTATGAAAACCACTTGAAAAATCAAAAAATAACCTTTTAATACACCAATTATATTCAAGATCCAACGAAAATAGTTTCTTGACGTTTATTGACTGGATCAATATTTCCGGTAACAAAAATTGTCAGACAGACAGAAAAAATACACGCTCATAATAGTGAAACCAATGCACCGATTCGCTCCGCTCGGAATCTATTATTAAAGTTTATAACCGGGGTTCGGGACTTCATCGTTTTTGTTTTTCGGACTCGGCATTACATCTAACAGGACACAACGGGAATTCGGGTATATCACGTTACATAAAGAGCTCGAATAATATGAATATCGAGTGTTTTTTCTTACAAAAATCCTTTTTACTTAATTTTTTAAGTAATTACGTAAATCTAATATAACAAGTAACGATGAAATAACAGCAATATGTATACAATAATAAAAATTTAAAAGTAAAAAAAAAAAAAAAACATATTGGTAAGAATTTAATAAAAAGTCACAACAATGAAGTTGAAGTTTGGTGAAATGAACAGATCGACATTTAAATTATTTATGATTACCGTAAGTCTATATTGCGGGGAGTTATACTTGCGTAATTAGTTATCTCTGTGCAACAATAAAAAAAATATTGCTGGCCCCGGTATTTCGAGTGTAGGTAAACATTTCGTTTTCCGTCATCATTTCGTTATTCGACTCATTGTATATGTTATTGTAGAAAACGAAAAAAAAAAAATATTCAAACGCCTTTCGTTTTTATGCGATAATTTCACTGTCGTTAGATTCAAAATTAAAACGTTAAAATAATATAAACTTTGAAGTTTAGTAATGCGACGGCGGTGGCGCAACGTTATAAATATTAATTCGTATAACAAACAAAGAAGTAATGTTTTTTTTTTTCTGTTTATTTTTTAGTAAATCGTTATGTACTTTTGTTTAAAACATAAATATAA